CCCGAATCGTTCCGACTCGTGCTCCCGCTGCAGCGTGGGCCTCATTTTCGGATCGGTGTTTTGCCTCCGTCGTTCAGGATGGCGTTCTCGCCCCAGCGCGGGCCTCATTCTCGCGCGCCCATCCACCCGCCACCACCGCGCCGCACCACGCCCCGCCTCGCCGCACGCACACCCACCGCCACTTCCACCCACCAACGCACGCACGCACGCACGCGCACCACCACCGCGCACCGCCACCACCACCGCACTACCCCACCCACCACCACCACGCTACACCGCGTTACACCACATCACACGCGCGCACACACAGACACACACGCACGCACGCACACACACATACACACGCACACACACACACACGCACACACACACCACCACCGTCACCACCACCACCGCCATCACGCACGTACGCACCTGGCCCACCTCCAAACCACCAAGACGCCACACCACGTCACACCACATCACACGCGCACACACGCACACACACTCATACACACCACCACCACAACAACCACACCACGACACACGCACGCACGCACGCGCACACCATCCACTACGCACACGCGCGCTGAGCCACAGGCCGCTGGACAAGCGTCGCGGATAGAGAAACTCAGCGCCATTGTAAAGGGTATGGGTGGGTGGGGTAGGATGTCAGATGTTGACGCGAGCGCACCTAACTTGCCTGCCCCCCCTCCCCCCCCCTCCTTTCCCCCCCCTCTCTCCTGTCTCCCCCCCTCTCTCCTTCCCCCCCCCGCCTCTCTCCTGTACAATTATTCAATATGAATACACTCTCCTCCATCCCCTGATGGCGTGCGGAAGATAGCGGGCACCCCTCCGCGTATTGTTTTTTACACGCAGGATTTCCCGGAGTTGGGTTTTCGTTTTTTGATTTTTCAATTTATTTTTCCCCCAAAATGCTGCTCGCTGAGGCGCCGGCCTCATTTTCGGGCTTGAGCTCGTTCCGAATCGTGCTCCCGCTGCAGCGTGGGCCTCATTTTCGGATCGGTGTTTTGCCTCCATCGTTCAGGATGGCGTTCTCGCCCCAGCGCGGGCCTCATTCTCGCGCGCACATCAGCCCGCCACCACCGCACCGCGCCCCGCCCCGCCCACCGCCACTTCCACCCACCAACGCACGCACGCACGCACGCACGCGCACCACCACCGCGCATCGCCACCACCACCCCACTACCCCACCCACCACCACCACGCTACACCGCGTCACACCACATCACACGCGCGCGCACACAGACACACACGCACGCACATACACACACATACACACGCACACACACACGCGCACACACACCACCACCACCACCACCACCGCCACCACCATTACCGCCATCACGCACGCACGCACCTGGCCCACCACCAAACCACCAAGACGCCACACCACGTCACACCACAGCACACGCGCACACACGCACACACACACACACACCACCACCACCGCCGCCACCACAACCACAACCACGCACACACGCACGCACGCACGCACGCACGCGCATCACCACCCACTACGCACGCGCGCGCAGAGCCACAGGTCCGCTACGACACGCGTCCGCGGATAGAGAAAATCAGCGCCATGGTAAGGGATTGGAGGGAGGGTAGGACGTCAGATATGACGCGAACGCACATAGCTTGCCCCCCTCCCCTCCCTCTCTCCTGTCCCCCCCCCTCTCCCCCCCTCTCTCCTGTCCCCCCCCCTTCCTCTCTCCTGTCCCCCGCCCCCGCTCTCTGTTCCCCCCCCCCTCTCTCCTTTCCCCTCCCCTCCCTCCCCTCCGTCTCTCCTGTCCAGGGCGCAGTGCAGGGGGGGGGGAGTTGGGGGAAAGAGAAGGTGCAGAGGCGGGGGGGGTGCAGGAAAAGGGGGGGGCGGAGAGGAGATTGCAGGGGAAAGGGGGGGGTGAAGGAAGAGAGGGCGGGGGGCGCCGGAGAGGAAGGTTCAGGGGGCGGGGGGGCGGTCCCGGCATTGGGGAGGCCTTGCGTGTCAATTCTTTCGTCGTTTGCGTCCCCCCCTTTGCAGAGCGAAGCTTGGGCGAGCTCAAGCCCACGCTCTCAGAAACTCACACGCCGGATCGGCGGATATATATATATATATATATATATATATATATATATATCCGTATCCATTTTGGCTCAAGTGCCCGCGGCTGTGCCGGCCCTGTTTCTTGAGCTGATCTGTAAGCCTACACTGGAGTTTGAGCTTACGCCTCCTTCTCGACCGCCCCAGATCTCTGCGAGCAGAGTGGATGGCGCCATGGTCGTGGCAAGGTGGGCGTGCAGGCTCGTCCTCTTCGCCTGTGTCGGACGAGTGGAAGAAGGATCCGAGTGGCCAGTGACACTTCGTCGGTCAACGTGGAGGTGGGCAGAAGCCTCCATCGAGACTGTGGGTGTGCAGCGGATGCCAGTCGAACAATTGGACCAAGAATGCATGCAGCACGTGCGGCATGCGCAAGACGTTTGCGGAGGTCGCCAAGTCAGCACTGTCGGGAGGTCCGAGCAGTGCGCCCAATGGCCCCTCCCAGAACCCCGTCAGCCAGCAGCTTGCGGAGGTGGCCGCCAAACTCCAGCGGGCCACGGCGGGCACCTCGATGACGACGACGATGACCACTCCTCTGCCCTTGGCCCCGACAGCGCCGCCAGCAGAGGACCAGCCCGTGGCCATGCATGTCGAGTCGGCGCAGCCCAATGCCCCCACAAGGCAGCAGCTGCAGAGCTCGATTGCCCAGCTCGAGAAGGCCCTCTCGGCCCTCGAGGGCCAAGGAGATGCAGTTCGGAGCCCGATCATGACGCAGACCGCGGAGAAGAAGAAGATCCTTGGCGAGTTGGCCCCACCGAAGCCTGTGGGGAAGCGGCTCGACGGCGCCCGTGCTGCCCTGGAGCGCGCGATTAAGCGCCACCAGGCAGCCGACGAGAGCGTCAAACTGGCGCTGGCGGCTCAGGTAGCCGCGTCGGAGGAGGTGATGAAGCTGCGCGAGGACGTGCGCCAGCTAGAGATCGAGTGTGCTGCAGGACGCGATGCCAGCACGCAGCCAACCAAGCCCAACATGGGCCAGCTGGAGGCGATCCTCGCGGCGGCGGTCGACGAGCTCAAGGCCTGCTCAGCGATCACCCCCTCGGCGATCGACGAAACCACGCAGCAGTCCAAGGAGTTGTTCGAGAAGTTCAAGGTGACCCTCGAGCTGGCCCACAGCGTCGAGGCCGCGCAGGCGGAGCCTGCTCGGCGCATGGAGGGCAAGCAACCTCCACAGGATGGGGCTGCTCACCCGGTGGCCCCCCCCCACCAGGCGCTTGCAAGGCAAGCAGAAACCTCTCACTCACTTCGGATTTGTGCGCAAGACGATTGGCGACAAGCCGAAATGCACTGTCTCGGCCTCGGGGTTTCCCATCAAAGGCAAGGTCGGCGGTGCTGCAGCTTGACGATTGCATCAGCTAGTGTGAACGCACTTCTTCCGTGGCAGGAGAAGTGTTCGTACGCCAAGATTGCGAATGCATGTGTGCTAAGCAAAGTACAGTTGCTTGAAGATCAACGTTGTGCTGCTGAGCTGGATGTGATTGTGCTGCAAGAGGGCCGCGCGGACATGTCGGTCAGCAAAGAAGGCGCGCTGTGCACCATGATGTGCGCTGCTGCCTGTGAGGACGGATCCTGTGGAGTGCAGATTTGGGCACGACATGGGCTCACAGTCAAGACGTGGGAGGCGCCCTCTGCACGTTTCATGTTTGCCGTCCTGTCGAAGAAGGGTATCGACTTCGGTAGCGTTTCAGCTCATGCCCCCCACCTTCAAGCTCCCCCTCCTGATCGTGCTGCGTGATGGGACTTTGTTGGCGCCCAGGTCTCCGCACTTCGGAAGGCCTATTCCATCCCATGGTATGTGCGCGCCGATACGAACGGACGCGTTGGGTCAGTTTCATCCCCGATGATAGGCACGACAGCCCCGAGTTGTGAGAAGTCCAATGGAACGCATGTCCGTGAGTTTGCTGAGCAGCATCAGATGATGATTGCTAATGCGTGGGGCCCAGATGCTGGCCATACCTGGACATCATCGTACGGCGCGCAGGCCCGCGTCGATTTCATTTTTGTTCCTGTGGAGCAGTTTGCCGATGTTGAGTTCTGTCGCCCAGACTATTCCCTCGACTTGACCGTGAATGCACGGGCTGACCACAACGCTGTGGTTATGGCTACCAAGGTTTGGTCAATGCCGTCGGCGACGCGCTCGACTCCCCCGTTCAGACCCAACGAGCTTCATCTGATGGAGCCGTCTCGAGTGAGCCATTTTTTGCAGCTGGTGTGGCGATTCCCGCGCATCGACGGGGGCATGCACATCGATGGCCACCGCGAGCTGCTGGACACCTACGTGCGTTGGGCAGGCCGCTTTGTCTTCGGTGACCCGAAGAGGCAGCCGCGACAGAGGTGGATCAGCGCTCAGGTGTGGGATTTCATCCAGCACGTGGCCCCTCTACGTCGAGCGAGGCGCGCAGCGCTCTCGCAGGAGCGTGGAGCATTTCAGAGCATGTGTATTGCAGCCTGGCAGTCAGTGGCATGTTTAGGTGTCCGCGCACGGTGTCGAGAGAAGCCTCGACCCTGGTTCTTTTACGGCCATGCAGTTGACCAGGACACGCTGATGCGTAAATATCGTTGGCAGGGAGCCGTGGTGTGCCGCAATCTTCTGGCTGCAGTGGTGTGCCAATCCCATCATCGAGCGTGACCGCGCTGCCTTTTTAGATTCAATGGCGCTGGCCGCCTCATCTGCTCTCAGTGAACACGATCCAAGGCAGGCCTACGCTATTGTGAGAGCGCTGGGCGGCACTAGACGTCGAGTCACACCGTGTATTTTCTCAAACGACGGCTCGGTGGTGTCAGACCCCCCCCTGCTGTGCGACGGCGTTGGCTTGAGCATTTCACTGATGTCATCGGAGGCGTTCCCATCAGCGAGGCCGAGCTCCGCGAGCCTGAGCGCCCGCCGAGGAATGCCCTCTCAGCCCTGGGTGCCGGTCCAGAGGCTACTCGCATTGCGTTCAAGGCTCTTGGCCGCAACAGGGGTGTTGGCTATGACCTGATCCCAGCAGAGCTTTCCCAGGCAGGTGGCGATGCGCTCGCCTGCAAGTTTGCGACTGTCAACCTGCGCGTGCTGCAGAACGGCTCACGGCCGAAGCAGTGGCGAGGTGGCCGCATTCAGGAGGTGTACAAAAAGAAAGGGGACCCCAGAGACCCCGATTGTAGTCGTGGGATTTTGTTGGCTGACCACTCAGGCAAGGGCCTGGCTGGGATGCTGAAGGCCCACCTTGACCCCGCGTATGTCGACCGCATGCCACTTGCACAGTTCGGCGCTGTTCACAAGAGAGGGACATGTGTAGCCACGTTGCTCATTCGTGCAGCCATGGAGGTAGCACATTTGCGTGACTTCTCTGCGGTCGTGCTGTTTGTCGATCTGGTCAAAGCGTTTGACCGAGTGCTGCGTGAATTAGTGTTCGGATGGGGGCCGCGCCCTCCCCCTGACCGTGCTGCTCTTTTGGCGCGCCTGAAGAGGCTGGGCGTCGCCGATGGCGCAACCGACTGGATCTTCCAGTACCTAGATGAGCGTGGACACCTTTTTGCCCAGTGGAATGTTGGTCCAGGAGTGTCGCGGACCTATGTCAGTCGCTGCATGTTGGCGCGTGGTTCGGAGCGTCGGGGGTGGAGAGTCGGGTTGCGAGTCGGGCGCGGGGGGGGGGGGGGGGGGGGGGGCGAGGCTGTAAGCTTGGCGCTCTCACGTTCAATGCAGTATACTCGATTGCTCTCGACTTGACGTCGTGGACTCTCGAGCGTGCAGATGTCACTCTCCGTCTTCCTGTTCCGGAGTCCCCGTTTTGGGCTCCTCCAGAGGCCTCAGTGTATGAGCCTGAGGCTTTTTCAGTAGTTGATGCGGCGTTTGTCGATGATGAATGCTTTGTTTTGGTGTCTGCGTCTGGGGCTGCCCTAGACAAGGCCATCGATGTTTTGTTTGAGCAGCTTTTTGGGGTCTTTGAGAGACTCCATCTTTCCATTTACTGTGAGCCTGGAAACACGGAGGCCCTGTTAAAGTACCGAGGGCGCCATTCCGTGAAGTTGCGCGAGGCCCGTCGGTGTTCTGATGGCAAGTTGCGTCTCCAGGTTCCAGGCCGCCCTGAGCTCGCGATTGAGGCTGTAGGAAACTATGTGCATCTCGGCGCGCACGCGTGTGTAGACGGGTCGTGCTTTAAGAACGCTTCTCATCGATGTGTGAGCGCAGTGGCAGCGTATGCCCCGCTGTCCTCTAAGATCTTTAGCGATCCGGGTGTGGCAAGATCGCGCAAGCTTTGCTTCATTAGCACGCTAGTCATGTCAAGATTGCTGTTCTCGGTCTTTGCTGCTGTTCCTGCCCCGAATGCCTTGAAAAAGCTGAACGGGGTTTACATGGGAGTTTTACGCCGTATCCTAGGCGACTCCAGATTTTCAGCAGATGTTCAGTTCTCTGATCGCGAAGTGCGCGAACAGTTGCAGCAACCATCCGTTGATTGCCCGAGCTGTCGTGCCGTTGTGTTTTTTTTTTTGGGGGGGGGGCTTGTGCGAAACCGCCCTCGCGCCCTCCTCGCCCTCCTCCATGTTCGAGTGAAGCACGAGCCTCCCCCATGGATGCAGCGCTTGCTCGAGGACGCCGCGCTGCTGAAGCGTGCGGTGATGCCCCCAGATTTCCCGTCCCCACTTGAGGATCCGAGGAAGTGGGAAGGTCGTCTTCTGCAGGATGAGAAGTCCTGGAGTGTGCTCGTCAGTCGCCTCGATTTTGTCGAATCGGCGTGTGACCCAGCCCCCCCTCCGACCTCGTCCCCAGTCCATCCCAATGCGTGGATTTGCGAGCAGTGCCAGGCCTCTTTTGCGTCTGGACGTGCTTTGCGGAGCCGCCGCCGTGCCGAGCGTGGCGAGCGTTCTGTCCTCCGAACCCTTGTCGGATCGTCGGTGTGCCCGTGCTGCAAGACAGATTTCCAGCAGAGGCTCCGATTGTTGTCCCACCTCTCTGACTCACGCCGCCCAAGGTGTCGTGATTGGGCCGTGGCCAACTGCCCTCCGCTTCCTGCCGGGGAAGCCTCCAGGCTAGATGCTGAAGACCAGCGAATACGCCGCGAGGCCCAACGTACAGGACGGTCCCACCACCTAGCCCGAGGCGCCGCCAGGAGAGCCACAGAGGAGGTGGTGGGTAGGGCGTCGCTTTAAACCCTGTTTAAAGCATACTGTTGTAACTGGCATAATTTGCGGCTTTAATCCTCGGCCAATATATATATATATATATATATATATATATATATGTGCTCGCCCGCTGGTATCATACCATTTCCCTTGTCTTCGATCGTTCCCACTTCTGTCTTTGTCAGCCCTGGCTCTCGTATGCTGCCCACTCTCCGTCCGCATCGGTGTCGTTCCTTCCCGCTGCGTTTTCTATGATTCGTTCCTTCTCCTTTTGATTATGTTCGTTACCCTCCCGATCCTCCCTCCTCCCTCACCCCTCGTCCCTCCTCCTTCCTCCCACCCTTTTCCGTTGCAGAGCCTCGTCATCTTCTTTCCCTTCGCAAGCTTCCTTACCGCCCTCGTTCCTTCTACTCTTTATTGTCCTTCCTACTATTCATTATCATTGTCGTTCTTTCTACCCGTTTATCGCTGATCCGACTTCTCTGCATATGTTCGTCGTTCCAAGGGCCTTTCAAAGATCGGCTCCTTATGTGTAGGGGCTTCCACATATTGAGTCCATTTGTGGAGGGACCTCCACATACGGATTCCATATGTGCAAGGGGCCTCCATAATGATATCTTGTGTGGAGGGGCCTCCCATTCGTTGAATCCTTATGTGGAAAGGGCCTGATTCCTCCAGTGGGGGATCCTCTACATATTGTTTCCTTATGTGGAAGGGATCTCCACATGTTGATTCCGTCTGTGGAGGGACCTCCACATGTTGATTCTTTATGAGCAAGGATCTCCATATTGATTTCTTATGTGGAGGGGCCTCCAACTTGTTCATTCCTTATGTGGAAGGGGCCTTCATATAATGATTCCTTATGTGAAAGGGCCTGCACGTATGGATTCCTTATGTGGATGGGCCTTTTAATAACGATTCCTTGTGTGGAGGGGCCTCCACATTGATTCCGTCTGTGGAGGGACCTCCACATATTGATTCGTTATATGGCGGGCGATCTCCTTTTCCTCCGCCTTCTGCTCCTCCCCCCCTCCTTCCCTCACTCCGGCGCAGGGGTTGAGGAGAAGAAGGATCAGAAGGAGTAGGAGGAGAAAAATGAGGAGGAGAAAATCGATATTGTTTCCTTTTGTGGGGGATCCTCCACATATTGATTCCTTATGTGGAAGGGACCTCCACATGTTGATTCTGTCTGTGGAGGGACCTCCACATATTGATTCCCTATGTGCAAGGGGTCTCCATATTGATTTCTTTTGTGGAGGTCTTCCCACTTGTTGATTCCTTATGTTGGAAGGGGTCTGCACATATTGATTCCTTATGTGGATGGGCCTTCAAATTATCGTTTCTCTAAGTTGAGGGGCCTCCGCATGTTGATTCCTTCTGTGGATGGACCTCCACCAATTGAGTTCTTTTGCGGCGCGCGATTTCCTTCTCTTCTTCCTCCTCCTGCTCCTCCCCCTCCTCCTCCCGCTCTGGCGCAGGGGTTGATGATAAGAAGGAGCAGAAGAAGTAGGAGGATAATGATGAGGAGGAGAAAGATGAGATTGTTTCCTTTTGTGGAGGGCCCCCCCCCCATATTTTTTCCTTATGTGCAAGGGGCCTCGCGCATGTTGATTCCCCTTGGGGGGGGGGGGGAGTCCTCCACATATTGATTCCTTATGTGGAAGGGACCTCCACATGTTGATTTCGTTTGTGGAAGGATTTCCACATATTCATTTCTTAAGTCAAAGGGGTCTCCACATGGATTTCTTATGTGGATGGGCCTCCGAATATAGATTCGTTATGTAGAGGGGCCTCCACATATCGAGTTTGTCGGTGGAGGAACCGCCGCATATTCATTCCTTATGTGCAAGGGGTCTCCATACCGATATCTTGTGTGGATGGGGCCTCCAACATGTTGAACCCTTATGTGGGAGGGGCCTTCATAGATGAGTTCCTTATGTGAAGGAACCTGTACACATTGATTCCTTATGGGGGAGGCCCTTCACATATGGATCCCTTATGTGGAGGGGCCTCCACATGGATTCCTTGTGTGGAGTAGGAGGAGAAAGATGATGATGATGATGAAGTAGAGTAGGAGGCGGAGGTGGACACGGGGGAAGCGGATTTACATATCGATTCCTTTTGTGGCGGGGCGGGGTACATAGAATGGGAGGAGAGGAGAGGAGGAGGAGGAGGAGAGAGAGAGAGAGAAAGAGAGAGAGAGAGAGAGAGAGAGAGAGAGAAAGAGAGAGTGGTTTCCGGCACAGCGAGAGAGAGGAGAAAGAGAGAGAGAGAGAGTGTGTCAAGATAGGAGGAAAGAGGACAGAGGGAGGTAGGGGGGGAGGAGGAGGAGCGAGAGAGGAATAGGAGAGGATTGAGGAGGAGAGAGAGAGAGAGAGAGAGAGGGAGAGAGAGAGAAAGAGAGAAATAGAGAGAGAGAGAGAGAGAGAGAGTCAAGAGAGAGAGAGTCAAGAGAGGGAGGAGGAGAGAGAGAGAGAGAGAGAGAGAGTCAAGAGAGAGAGAGAGAGAGAAAGAGAGAGAGAGAGAGAAAGAGGGAGAGGAGAAGAGAGGAGAAATACCGAGAGAAAGAGGAACGGAATTCGGCAGAAAACGGGCGGAACCGTTGAGTCAAAGGAGCCGGCTAAGCGGAGGAGACGGAGGAGGGTGTTTTTTTCATTTGTTTCTTCCTCCCCGCCCTCGGAGGCGTTTTTTTTCTTCTTTTTTTTTGTGTGTGAAAAAATGTTAAGCCGCAGTTTTTTTCCTACTTCCTTTTTTCATCTTCTTTGCTCTCCCGTTCGGCCCCTCGGGGTTTCCCCGCCGCCCCAGGGGGGGCCAGAAAAAGAGGGAAAAACGGAAACATAGGAAAACAACATTTGTTTTCACATGGAAAAAGAGGAAACAACTCCGCCTCCGAGGGCGGGGAGGGGAAAACAAGGAAGAAACACACTCCTCCGTCTCCTCGCCTACTCCTCTCCCCCCTACTCCTCTCCCCCCCTCTGGTATC